GCACTGTTACCCTATATTAGGGTAATTGATTTTAGCTCTCGCTCTATCTACACTAGTAGATTTCCAAACGACATTTTTGAAAGGTATTCAGTGTTATTTAACATGCTCCACACTCGCACCATGACGCTATCCTCCCCTCCCCTCCCCCAATTTAACTCCTCCTGTTCCATTATTTATTTTTAACCATTTATACTAAGAATTTTTTTCTCCCCCTCCCTTGAAAATCTCTTCATGTCCTACCTTAGTAAGTTCATAAACTTTACTGGTATTTCAAATGAAACATACATCTTTGAAGATACGAAGCTAACATAGATGAGATAAAGCATGGAACATTTGTTTTTGTCGACCTGGGTTACCTCTTTGATATCAAGAGCACCTTCTTATACATAAAGCTCTAATAAAATGCCAGTTTAATCCATCAACTTTTAAGTGGTCATGTGATGTGGGATTCCCCTTTGTATGTTGTGAATGTCACTGTTAATAAAGAAGCTGCTTTGGGCCTATTGCAGTGCAGAACGAGGGAAGTTGGGATTTCCAAGCAGATAGAGGAAGAGAGAATAAGCAGAGTGGGAGAAACCATGTAACCACTGCAGGAGACAGATGCTCAATACCAGGCGGAACTTTACCAGTAGGCCACAACCACATGGTGATACACAGATTAATAGAAATGGGTTAGTTTAAGATGTAAGAGCTAGTTAGAAATAACTTAAGCTGTTGGCCAAATATTATTTGCAATGAACACAGGTTCTGTGTGATTATTTAGAGTCTGGATGACTGGGAACAAACAAGCAGCTTCTGCCAACAGAATAGCAACCACAATCTGGGGGCATGGATTCACTTAAAACCTAAAAAAAGTTTATTCGTTTTTTTTTTAAAAAAAAAAAAAAACAAGAGGACTTCTACACCCTTAAAAATGAGGTTGAGCACAGCTTCTTGTTAAGCATTTTTTTTTTCAAAGAGGCTCTGTTTGCTGACAGCAAAAATCCCTGCACAGCTTCTTTTTTATCGTTTATATTGAGCTCTATATTTTTCTCTGCTCCCCTCCTTTTCTTTCCCTTCACCTTCTACCCACTCCCACAGTCCCTGTTTCTACTTTCAATGTACATTAGATCCATGTATGTCTCTCTTAGGGTCCTCTTTGCTGTCTATGTTCTCTAGGATGGTGAATTGTAGGTTGGGTTTTTTTTTTTTGCTTTATGTCTAAAAGCTGCTTATGAGTGAGTACATATGATATTTTCCCTTATTCAATATGATGTTTTGTAAATACACCCATTTGCCTTCAAATTTCAAGATGTCATTATTATTTTCTGCTGTGTAGTACTCCATTGTGTAAATGTACCACAGTTTCCTTATCCATTTCTTAGGATGGATAGGGGCATTTAGATTTTTTTTCCAGGTTTTGACTATAACAAACAATGCTGTTATGAACATAGTGGTACATGACATGCTGGATGTCATTAGGTGTTCCTGGAAGTCTCTCAGCGCTCCTGCAAATTGTTCTGCATTCCTGGAGGTAGTTTGGTCCTGCTCTTGTGGTTGTTTGCTTGGGGCTGCTCCAGCAGAGGTACTGGCTTAGGCCTGCTCTGGCAGAGGTCAATGGTTTAACTACCACTACTAACAGGTGTAGCCCCTGACCTTCAAATGACCTGTTCATTTCCTTGTATCATGTTAATGCAGGTTTTTATATTACTCCTGCCTCTTGGGGGTCAGGGTATTTTTAAGCAATTGGAAATTAAACATGGGTGATTCAGTATTCACTGAAGCTCCCTCTCAGTACTATTCTATATTTCTTTTTTATTATTTTTAAATCCATCTTTGTACTCTTTACTTATATTTCTAATCCCTACACCTCTACTCTGGCAAGGTGGCATTTTTCTTGAGACTGGTCCCCCACCTATCACACCTTCAGCAAACGGCTCAACAGCTTCTAAAGGACACTTGTTTCACACAAAGTGACAACTACAGCAAGGTCAGGACCTTAAGAGTTACCAAAAACTCTCAATATCATGAAATTGAAGGGCCTGTGTTCTCCTTACAAATAACACAAGTTGAAATGGACATCATCTTCTCTATAAACTCATCCAGGTGCACAAGCATTCAAATACCAACTAAGGATCAGATAAGCACAGAAGCCCTTCTGTACATTTAGAATTTCCTCCCTTCATTTGTAGGGGCAAATAAACCTACAGGTTTTTTTTTCTGGTTTGCTCAAGTCAAAAGTGCTCCTGGCCATGTAGGTATTTATTTTCAAACAAATAAGGAAAGAGAAATTGGTAAAGAAAATTAGATTCAGATTCCAATGACTTCTAGGGGTTCATGGACGTTTCTTTCATTCTTTCTCTCTCTCTCTCTCTCTCTTTCTTTCTTTTTCTTTCTTTCATTTGTATTCTGATTAAACTGAAGGAGAACATACAATGCCATTTTATCCTTGTAGCCATCCCTGTGGCTATCTCATAATTTATAGAAAACTCTAAGACAGATCGTATCTAACTGCTACCTGTTTCAGTGAGTCACATTAGCTGGATTGTTCCTTTGTGTAAGGAGATGAGGACCTCATGTGTTCTTGCTAACTATAGATACATGTTTTGTAAGAAGTAAGATCCTTACACATTTTTGACTTGGTAGACTCCTTGTTGTTAGGACCTTTCCTCTGACAGAAAGGGGGTAAAAACTTCCTATCGTTTTTAGAGCTCAAACTCAGATTCCAATTTTTAAAAATGTCATAACCATTCAAAATTTTAAATTAAAAAGAGGACAGCCTGATAGACAAAAGGATAGGGGTCAAAAACTTTCTGTGTTTAGAACATATTCTGCCCAGCCAGAGACTCACTTTGAAACCATGGCAAAAATGTGAAAGATTAATAAAATCTGAATGTTAATAAAATCAAGATGAATCAACAACAAAAAAACAAACCTGATAAAGGTTGTGATGAAAATCTGAATGTGGCAAGAACTGTGCATATTCTTAAATATGCCAGGAATCATAAAATAAAATGTTGACAAGGGACCAGATAACATTTTATGTCCATGAACCCCTAGAAGTGATTGGAATCTGAATAACGGATCCCTGAAGTATCAGATGTAGGATCATCTAACTGAACATGTTACTATGAAAGTAAGAGAAGTTGTTGTTGAGTGGGAACCATTACAATAAATTCCATAAAAGTGTGACGAACGGAGCCACCAAATGATGTTAAGGAGACCATGTATTGAATTCCAGATTTTTTTTTTTTTGGTGTTCTTCTAATGTGCAAACACTTTGGGCTTTTGTGACTGATGGCATGGATATAACCAAATCATAACAACCTCCAAGGAGATCCAGAGAAATGGGCAAGGGAGGATGGGTAAAACATAACATAGAAAAGGTGAAAAATATTGAGTTAGTTTTAGGTGTGTACAATCATCTTTGTATCAGAGAATATAGTATATACATTTCTTCCCTGAAAATTAGTGTGCTCAAAGTGATTTTACCTTGGTGACACTTATTAGCATGACAATTGTAGAGTTTGAGATTTAGAACTATTGCTATGTGAAATGGGAGTCTGTGGAGAAGAAATTGTCCATCTAGGCATGGGCTCTCTAAGATTTGCAATCAACAAACAGTCAATGGCTCCAAGGCCAGTCAGAGTCCATCAAAACTGCCAGTTGGAAGGAAAATGGATATAGCAGGGAAAATGAACAACACTGTTCCTTGGCTCATAGCAACGCCAAGAAGTAACACAATGAGACCACATAGCCTAGAAGGCAGCCTTATGCAATATACCAGGAAGAAGAGACTGAAAGGGACAGACTTTTAAGAAGGGAGGGAATCAGAGAAAAATGTAGAGCTCAATAAAAATCAATAAAAAAAGAAAAAAAAGTGTATTTCCAATCCATGTTGCCTTAACAAACATTGCTCTTTGCAGGAAACAGTGTAACCAAGCTTGATCCAAGTTTTATTAGAACTCAATAAGATTTTTCAGTATGCCTTTAGATGCTGAGTCCCAGTAACAATTTGTACTCTCTTCAAACTGGTCACCCTCTTTTAAACATTCATGATATAATACAAACCTCTACATGGCTTCCTGATTTAGAAAAGCATCTACAGAAAACAATAAGGACAGCAATAGAATTTGGAAGCAAGAACCTGTGTCCGTCGAAATGGTATGTCTGATAGTGATAAAATGTTTAAATAAAATCCCAAGGTCTAGAATGGGTTTTCCTCTTGGAGTTGTTGAAAACAAAGACTACTGAGGACCTACATAATACAGGTTTGTCAGGCACAGTTGTTACCAGTGATACTACTTGGCACTTGGTTTGGTCATCAGCAACCCTAGCATGAAGTGGCCAGTAGTGTAGCGATGACACAGTCGACACCTGCAGCCAAACCATTTTTAATTAATTTATCTTCATATATTTAGAAAGAAGCCCATGATTTGTTTTATGAGTATAAAGATATATTCCTGGGAAGATAGTAGACTCCAGCATCGATGCTACTGACCCTGTTTGTTAAATGAGTATGATAGGACTATTATATTACATATAAGACATTTGTGTTTGGGACTCTTGATTACAGTGGCTATCACCCTAGTGTGTATACAGAGATAATCTTTACACATTTTTGTGGTTAACTGAAGATTCCCATCTACTAAAACTAATTAGAAAACTGACAGTTGTGCCACTGTAACCCAGTGCTCTCAAAAGAATCAAATACCTAAGTAATCCTCTAGAAGAAACAGGGACTACTGTGAAGGACAGAAATGGTCTAAGAACCTGACGAATGTGAAGCAATGTATGAGAATAATTTATTTCTGTCTAGACAAACATGACCACAAGGCATCTAGAGCGTATATGGATTCTACTACCTAAAATATAATGCCGTCATAGCAAATGCAGATAATTAGGTCGATGGTTATTGCTGCTAAAACTCCCTGAGGTGGGGGAGAGTCATGGTACCCTCACCCAGAACTATAGAACTTCCTTCCTTCTGACGTACGGTATGTGTAGCCTTTGGGGGTAATCTGCTATTGTATCTAGGAGGTTGAAAGTCTACTAAAGGTAGGACTCCTGTGAAGCAGCATTCACTAGTCAGAATCAAGCTGCAGGAGGACTCTTTAGAGATGCAGCTAACTTCGATCCAGTCACGTTCCCGTAAGTAACCTCTTACCTGTGCATGAATGGGATCCTTTCTTTGTATTTTCTGATGCTCTATAAGACTGGCTAGACATTAATTCAAATCTCAGGGGAAAGAAAACAATACCAGATTTAGAAGAACTTTGCAATCATTTCTCTAGAATACAACTGTATGAGGGTACACGGAGTCTTTCAATATTAGCCCTTAAAGATGGCAAGTCTCTTTGTCTTGGACACATGTGACAATGTCCACATCACATATTCGGTTTTCTTAATTGAAGTGGGGAAATAAAGGGTACTGCATTGATAGTTTCCAATGAATAGAAACCATGATGTTTTTCAGGATTTCCCAATGAATAGTGCAGCAATGAGGACAGGAATATCACTGTACTGAAACTGAGAAATTCAATTTTATTTGGGACATAAGAGTAATTACATACAATTTTTTTTTACCTACAGGGAAAAAAGGAACACTTTTAGTTTTTGTGGTTTATGTATGAATTTACTCACTGGAATCAACCTGAAAAGTATTCATTTCTGAAGCCTAATTGGCACTCATCGCAGATTTGATTCACATAATGTTGTTTATCACCTTTTTATAAGACAAATTTCACTGCAGAAGTAAGAGTGCGGAGGGGCTAAGAAACTGTCTCTTTTGTACATAGAATTTGAATAACTTCTGTTTGAGGTAATGGAATGTTTTATGAAATAAGTTGATATACATGTACTTACAAGTTTTATATGTAAAATTACATTAAAGACATCAGTTTTTGAAAGTATTAGTTTTGGAAAATGAAACCTTAGGATAAGTTATTTAACATTAAATTTTAGTTAAGGTGTTTGTTTATACTGTAAAAGTCATTGTACTTTAGTAAATTTTATTTTGAATGTATGAGTTTAGGGGTTTTATGTGCATAAATCTTTAAATTTTACCCACTTTTATGATTGACTTCTTCCAGAGATACCCATTTATTTTTCACAAATTATTTAGGAATAGTGTTGCTAAATTACTGCATGTATACAGTTCTGCTCCTTCTTCTTGTGAATGGAACTTACTGCAGATGAAAGGCCTCTGTCTGCTTATCTGATGAATCACAACATTGATGAGCAAACCAACACTGGCCATTATGAGAACTTACTAAAGCAGGTGCTTTTCAGGACAGGGGAAAGGGGGAGAATTCAGCTTCCTAGAACTTCTGTTACCATGTCTTTGAAGACAGTTTTATTTTCTGTATTTGAATTTAATGTCATTTTATATGAAAATTTAATACATAAACACTTCATCTACATCACCAGGACCCCCTCTCCCATCTCTGAATTGTCTGTATCCTACCTTGGCAAAATAATAATCTTTCTTTTAATTATTTGTAATAACTGTATGTGCAACCAACTGAGTCCATTTAGTCTTCTTCCTAATTACATATGCCCAGAGATGAACACAAGGTTAGAAAATCTTTGCAGGAGTTTGTGCCTGAAGGAAAATTTATTCTTACTCTCTCAACAGTCATTGGCTACCTGAATTCTGGTTTTACAAGTGGGATCATAAGGAACTTCCTCTCTCTCTATGTTGGAAGGTCAACGAATTATTATTCTGACCTTATTCAGGCTGCTTTATTGCTGAGAGCTCATAGGAATATTTTCCTTGTCATGTTTAGGGGTTACTATCTAGTCACTGGTGTCTAGAGCTTCTTTGCCTTAAAACATTTCAACCACTTTTTCTATGATTTTTCCTGAGTTTGCGTCTAGGGGTTGCTTCAAAATTATATCAGTTTGGGTTGGACATCCACAGATATCTAATACTTTTAGCCAGCTGTGGATCTCTGTAATAGTCACCATATGTTGGAAAAAGAAGCTTCTTTGACGAGGTATTAGAGCTACATTTATCTCTGATTATAAATTTAATCATTTAAAAAGTCACAGATATTATAATGGCTTAGGAAAAACAGGTGTTGGAGGTTCTGCTTTTGTGCCTATAATCTTTCCAAAAATGAGGGCTTGGCTCTATTTACAGAACTAGGTATGAATTTTTTCCTATTAAGTTGTCTTAAATTCTAATGAAAGTGCTGTTGCTTACCTCAAGATCAATGCACAAGTATTGCAGAATTGTGGCTCTCTGGCCAACCTAGTCTTTGTTGTGGGTCCTAGGTTTCACTTCTCATTAAAAGTAGCAGTTGCTGCTTTAGTGTAACACTTTGCACAGCACTTTCTAAGAGTATGAGAGCGAGATCTTAAGGAGGAGGCCTAATACACTTCCAGATCTCTTCCACCAAGTTCAAATGGAATATCTTCAACTGGGAGGTAATCCAAGGCCATGGAAGACATAAGAATTTTGGAGGTCTCTTATTTCTCCAACCAATGACTCAAGGGAGGGATATCTGGAACTGGGTATTTGTTCAATAGAGCTCTTGGAGAGAACACTATTCCTTATGTGGTGTGACCACCCCTTCCTATCTATCTACCTATCTATTATCTATCATCCTTTTTTTTATCCATCTTTCTATGTGTCTATTATCTCTCTTCTTCTACCTACCTACATATGGGTCTTATAAAATAATATATTAGCATATGTCTTTTAAAAACACCCTTAGAGCTATCAATCCATCCTCTCCTCCCCATTAAATTTGCACATATTTTCCCTATTACCCACTTCATAGCACCCATCTTCTGATATGTATTTTTCTAGAGCCCCTTCTTCTTTCATCCTGTATTGTCCTTAATACTTTCCTGTCTTCCTTGGATACTTCAGGTTACATGATCAAAACAAAGATTCAGCTCTACAAATAAAAGAGAACATGTGATATTCTCCTTCTTGGGAAGGATTGGTATAGCATATTTTCTAATCCGATCAATTTGCCTGAAAATTCATGATTTCACTTTTCTTTCCATTGTGTATGTGTGCAATGCTTTCATTATCTATTTATCAGATGGTCACTTACATTTTATTCATTCCCCAGAAAAACTATCCAAACCCTCTTAATTAAATAAACTATGAATGAGCTTTTTTTTACTGCATATTAACAAATTCAGAATGTTGGTTCACTTTCATGACAAGATTCTCTTCATCCCTGGTGTTAGAAATCCAGCGGTCATGTGGTTATTTTCAAGCTGAAGCAAAGAGATGACCCATGCTGTCCTTGTCACATCAGGGACCAAACTGAGTTTAAAATATTACAAATTCATAGAGTGTGAATATTATAAATAAGCATTTATTCCCCAAGTATAAAATGACCTGAAGAGAATGCCTTAAAAATGTTCAGTTATAATTACGATATGAGCTCTTAGTGCTTACGGCAGAACTTCTGGGAGCAATCCCCAAAGGAGGAAGTCACCCATTTTCAAACTATCAGGGCAAAGGTAATTATGGGCCTACTTGTGTACAGTGCAAGGATTTATTCTACAGTCCTGTTATACAGAAAGAAATCGTACAGAAAGCCCCAGAGAGGGATGAAGATTTTCCCCACAGGATTACCTTTTATCACAACACTAGATCAATGCAGGTGACAACCTCCTTTTATTTAGCAAGGACACTCCTGGTGTTGCTGGTGTCAAACCTGGTGCTGTGGGAGAATGTGGCCTCTGTACCTTTGTGCCCCAGCTGGGATGGTTCCTGCCATGGGACCCTCAAGAACATGTTTGAGTATGCCCTGAGCCTGTCTTATGAACTCCAAAACCACACTGCAGAACTGTTAAGTGACTTTGTAAGTAACTCTCTTACTTCTGCCTTCTTACTAATGGGAACTTTCCTGCCAGAGACTACTCCAAAGAGTAAATGCAACAGCATCATGAATCAAACTTCACAGGGAAAATAAAGCATCAGTGACTGAGTATATCAAGAAGGGAATACTTTCATGGAATCTCATTATACTTAAGAGGGGAAGAAGCTGAGAGGCGAGACAGGAAGATAATCACTACATGCCCAGTGATTTCAAAATTAGGGAAAAAGCTGAATTCTTTATTTTTTTCTTTTAGTTTTTATTCTTTATTTTTTAAAAATTGCACTTCTAATTTTAAGAATTATTTATCCACATGCCCAGTGGATAACTAAGGTGTTTGGTGTGCAAGCACAAAAACCTGAGGCTTCCAAATAATCCCTGAAAGTCAAGGCACAGTAAGACACCTCTATAAACCCTGCACTTCTGCAGAGAGATGGGAGACATGACAAGAGAATCCTTCAACTTTACTGGGCCAGCTAGGCTATCTTGCACAATGGTCTAGAGCAAGGAACTGTCTCAAGAAAGGTGGAAAGCAAACTAGAACAACTGTGGTTCTCTAATTCCACATTTCTACATTGAAGAACACAGAAACTCTTATACATAGAAATATGGACACCACACACAGACACATAAGCACAAAAAAACATATACATACTTTATATGCACACACAGAGAGTAAAAGTTATACACTCTTTAAATGAATTAATGTTCTCATCATATATTAACTTATTCATTTCCAAATTTAAGATAACTGTTTTTTTTTTCATCAGTTGCTGGATGTCCAGTACGCATCAGGCAGGTGGTACCTTGATGGGGCCCAAAGCAGTTGCCACACTTCCACCTTTGGTATCATGATACCTGAAGAGGAAACTGAACAGATCAAAGTGAGTCTTGAGTGTGTGTTTTAACCTAGAAAATTAAAGAGTTCACTGGCTTGGTCTTGAAGTTAGTCACTGTGGGTACAATCACACAATCAAAAGAATAAAGGAGGGGGAAGCAATAAAAGAACAATCTAAGTTACATAGTTGATAAATTATAAGTAAAATTGAAAGCTAAGTAATACTGCATCAGATCCATAAATTGTTCATTCAAAGAACCTGTTTTACCAATACCCACACCTGGGGTTGTCATTGGTATTATGTAGGACACTTTGAGCTGAATAGCATACATGGTTAACTGTATTCATCATAGGAAGTAGAAACACATTTCATTTATAATATATTAGGAACGGCTCCTATGTTTTCAGCTTTTCATGGTATCTGTTGACTTTGAAGACCCTCCTGTTCTCCTTTGATTTCTAACCTACATGTCAAATTTTCACTGAATTCTCTGCCTTCTTCTGTGCCTTAACTGAAAGTGAGCTGAACAAAAGATTCTTTTAAGATAATACAATTCTCGCCAGGCAGTGATGGTGCACACCCTTGATCCCAGCACTCTAGAGGCAGAGGCTGGCAGATTTCTGTGAGTTTGAGGTCAGCCTGGTCTACAGAGCGAGTTCCAGGTCAGCCAAGACTGTTACAGAGATACACTGTCTTGACAAAAGAAGATACTTCAATTCCCAGGATGCAGTTATACCCTGTGTTGTGATAGCAGGGTCTATATATCATGCCATCCCTGCTTGCTTCCCCCAAACTTAGCATGATTTAACCAGAATGTCAAACGTCAAACATGAGTACATCATGTCTAATTGTTCTTACACCATGATTGTGTTAGTTCATCAGTAATTTGTGCATTGGTGAAAACAAAATCATTCTTATTAATAATAAGTATCAAAACATAAGTAAAAGTGAAAGAAGAAAGATGATGAGATAATATATGTAGACATAAACTTCCTTGTTGGAAACTCCACAAAAACAATCTACTGATAATGTTGCAATAGATCCTGCTAAAAGTTATTATCCAAGTCTCACTTGTTTCCGTGGCTTGGATAAGAAAACTGAGGTTCATAGATGGTATAAATTCTATTTCACATGCATGGCCAATAAAAACGGCTCTGCGGGTTGCATCCAACTCAAGTATTATTAAGTATGACTTAATCATATCATACTATTTCCAGCAAACTGTTTTCCTATCACCATTCAATGAGCCTTTTTTATCATATTTAAATATTTCCTATGTGATACCTAGCAGCCATGTCCAAACTGTATCTCAAGGTCACATGCATGCTAAAAGAGCTATGAAAGGAACCTAACATATTTGTACTTTATGTCATATCATGATGATGAAATATTGGACACCAGTGGATTATTAGAATCTTTTCTACTCCTTTTACCTCATTACCAATAAACACAAGTCAGGAACTCTTTAATCAGAGGTGTTTTCATCTGTAATCTTGACAATGAGCACACTCTGGGAGGTCAGACTTTTGTCATGCCCATCAGTTCTTTTTCTTTTTAGAAATTGATGTGGGAGTCCCCTCTGTGTGCTGTGATTACCATTAAAGAATTAAAAAAAACTGCCTTGGCCTGTTGATAGGGCAGAGCTTAGGTAGGCAGAGAGGACTGGACTGAATGCTAGGAGAAAGAAGGGCAGAGTCAGAGGATTTTATGGATTGGCTGCTGGAGATAAATGTGCTGAAACTTTGCTGGTAGGCCACGACCTCGTGGTGATATCCAGATGAATAGAGAGTTAAATTAAGATGTTAGAGTTAGCCAATAGAAAGCTATAGTTAATAGGCCAAGCAGTGATTTAATTAATACAGTTTCTGTGTGATTATTTCAGTTCTGGGTGCCCAGGACAAGTAAGCCATTCCTTGCAACAAGCAATAATTATTTTTCTTTTATATAACTTATTCTTTCTGGGTGCTATATTATACTACATGTGTCCTTCATGTCTAAGAAAACCAGAAGAAGGTGTAAGGTCTCCATGAAGGGCAGTGACATAAGGCTGTGAGTCACTTTGTAGGTATTAGGAATTACACATGCATCTTCTGGAAGAATAGGCATTGCTTTTAACTTCTTGACTATTTCTCAATCTACCACTCATTTCTCTTATTCAAAGTAATACTGCTCATCTGGTCTTCACCTGTGCACGTTTAAACATAGGCTCCTTAGCTGACTTTTATGAAGATTGATGAAAACAAAAATATCAAGTTCAGGTTTACTTCATAGGATATGTATTATAAGGCATTCAAATTACTTAAATTGATAAATGAGTGCATCAATGAACAATTTCAGGGTTTTGTATAAGAAATCCTGTGTGAAAAATTTGGGCCACTTGCTACTGAATTGTTGGCATAAGTTTTATGTGAATGTTGTTCTATAACCTCCTATTTATTTACTGTTCATTCTTGGTTCCTTGTATGCAAGTAAAGAAACCAAAAACCCTCAAAGGAAAACAAAATATTATCAACTATATTTATTATTAGAAAATATAATAAATAAGATTTATTTAGTGTTTTTCAATCAAACTACAGATCAATGGCTGAATTTTGTATTTCTATAACATGTACCACCTACAAAATTATTTCATAGTATGTAATAACACATGCTTATTTTGGGGGGTGAATGCCACATGAACTACTAATATTGCTTTATTTCAGAAAATGTAATACAATTCTTTAATTATGGTTGTGTAGGCTACTTTTCTTCTGCAAGAGATACTCACTTTGTTGGGAGCTTGGAAAGACCCTCTGAGTCATGTCGTGTCTGAGCTGAGTGGTATGGAAGAAGCCCCTACTGAAATCATAGAAAGAGCCAACATTGTAGAAATAATAGTGAAGGGACTTCAAGAAGGCGTTAGAAGAATACTTCGCAAGGTTTGTAGTCTCCTTGTCTTCATTTGCTTTTCTTGTGCATTTGATAGAAGAGTCCTGTAATAAGAAATCTCATGCAGCAAAATTTAGTAAGCTAGTGTTTTAGAAAGTCTTGCTTCTAAAGGTTTACTGGTAACACAAAACTTCTCTAGAATATTTTATTCCATATTTCAAGAATCTCAATATAAAATAGATGTTCCTCATAGTCTTCTGAGAAACAACCTTTCTTTAGCAGGACAAGCGGCTCCTAACAGTATCACCAGAACTCTATATCACAACAATCCCTGGAATATTTACTTACACCTGGAAGAATCAGGTCATGTTCTAACCAAGTCTGAGATTTCCATTCCATGAATTCTGCAGCAAGAGGTTTAGTTGAAATACAGAAATGAGCAATGATTTCTTTTATAATTAGGAAAGTATAAATAGTAAGTCAGGGCAAATACTGAGGATATGTTAAATTTCTTTCATGACAAAACTGATACAAGGTCCTATATCGTCCCTTGGTTAAAAAAAAAAAAAAAAGCCATGTCTATGGGTAAGTAGCACCTCCCTGATTCACCATCTGCCTTATATGCCAGAATATCCATAATTTGGCCAGAAAATACATCCAAGTATCTCTCTTGTAGAATTGTGGCAAATGCATTCCCACTACTTAATATACTTATAATATAATAATATAATTTAATATAATTAATCATTTTAATATAATTTCATATATTTGGGTATATTAAAATCCACGATTTTGTCTGAAATTCTACAATCCTAATTCCCCCAAATGCTCATTTACCATTGATAATAAAGAAAGATCACCACATAATCATTAATAATAAGTTATTTTGGTTTTCCTCATTAGCTTTATCCCAGATTCAAAGAAGTTGAGGAGTACCCCATCTGGAAAGGACTGTCATCCTTGCAGTCACCTGATGAAGACCTTCGTGTTTTTGCATTCCATAGCTTGTTTCAGTGCCTGAAAAGGGATTCACGGAAGATTGACTCCAATCTAAAAGTCCTGAAGTGCCGCTTTGTCTATGACCCTGATTGTTAATCTCATGCCCTTTTAATTTTGACATGATTGTAAAAATTCTTTTCTTTCAGAAATTTATGCTTTTATATCCTTTGAATATGAGACTTCTTATTTTTAATAAATGTTCACTCTTTAAATGATAATGTCTAAAATTCCAATTTTTTGAACCAATCTTTTGTTCATGTAATATAAAATTTATCAATAGCATTGGGATATTTACATCATAATTTGTCATCATTAACTGAGTTTTGTTTACAAGTAAGGCAATTCAAAGTTTACCATCCTATTAAAGCGAAGAGTGATACTGTGGTTTATCCATTCTACTAAGAACTGAAAAAGCTTCAGTACTTTATAAAAGCTGACACTCTCTATGGGCTAATTTTATAGTAAAATGATAATACAAATGCTGTGCAACTGCACAGTATCTAAGAGCTGTTAATTTTTCATGTATTTAATTTTTAATTAAAATACTGTGACATCATTTGTCCATCTCTTTTCCCCACTCCTCCAAGCATACCAACATCTCCTGAAACCCATGGCCTCTTTTTTCTTTTAATATCTTTCGTTAATAAAAGAGCACACACACACACACACACACACACACACACACACACACACACACACTCCTGAGTCTGTTTGGTGTTATTGTATTCCTCTTTTAAGAGCAGACCACTTGGTATTAAATAATTAATTATGCAGTTCATCCCTGAAAAATACTATTTCTTCCTCTAAGAGGTGATTATTTACCAGTAGTTCTTCAACTAGAATTAGAAGCAACTGAGATTTCTGTCGTATACTTTGGGTTATCAACTTATATTGAAATTCCAATCTTGTTTATGCATCAATATTGTTGAGATGTCCTTGGCACAAATTTCTTGTTATATCTAGAAAATACTATCTCAGGCAGATATCCTGGACCCCTACCTCTTACAATTTTTCTGCTAGATCCTTCATGATAATTTCTGAGGCTTAGGTATAAGATTTACACACACACACACACACACACACACACACACACACACACACACACAAAAACACACATATACAACTCTTGCCCCTCATGGTCAGTTTGTCTCTGCATGTTGATCAGTTGTGTCTTTCTATAATGGTCTTGAACTGATATAAAAAGGTGTTTCTTTTATAAAGAATAATTGCTATAGCTAACTGTGGATGTAAGAAGTATTTAGACAGCAATTATTCTGGTTTAAGAAGCAAACAGTACTATGTTCTGCTCTGAGATCCAGAACTATACCAGGCAAGGGCAGTTGGCTATGGGGTTAGTACAGACATTATTTTAGTCCTATTGACTGGGCCTAAGCACATTTAGACAGCCATTGGTTACTACAAAGATAGACATGCCATTACTGCACCTTCAGGAATATCTTCTTGTACTGATCATTCTTGTGCTTTGTGCACATCATGTTTGGGAAGAAATATTTATTAATTTTTTTCTCGTTGCAGCTTAAATAACAGCTACTGGTAGTATGAAATTAGTTCTCATGGATGAGAATTCCACATAAAATACATTCTGATTCCACCAAGTTCAATGTAAATGGTGTATACTATCTTAGGCAATCAGGACCTAACTTCAAATCTATGGGGCATCCAAAATAAGAGAAGTAATGTGTATTATTTTGTGAGGCTCCTGGACTCCTTGGACCAACAAATTAGGTACAGGTGATATAAAGGGGAATGGAGAAAAACATGGGGGGCTTAAATTGGGAAGGGAGGCATAGGCCACACATAGTGAAAGAGAGTGAGCAGGAGTAAATAACACTGAAGATGCTTGAAAAAGTAATAGAGAATCTTACTATTTATATTTAATCTAAAATTATATATAATACAATGTGTTATCCATGTACTTTTAATAAATTCGCATCAGTTGCAGTGATGATTATCTTCCCCAAGTCCATAAACTATCAAGTAAAACACATTACCTTGATATTTTTAAACAGTACTGAAAATGTTAAAATACAAATATGATATTTCTCAGAGTTACTGGCGATTGCTTTCTGTATGCTCCTTTGAATTTTTTTCTCAGCATCAACTTAGGCACTAGTCCACTTGTAGAGGAAACTTTTCTGTCTTGCATGCCCCACTAAACTGGTTTCTGTCTGCCCACTGATACCTGCAGTTGTTCATGAAATAACCACTCAGAGACTAAATATTAAATATAATTTCTTGGCCAATGTCTTAGAATTCTTACTGGCTAGCTCTCACTATAAATCAACACATTTCTATTAGTTTATATTTTACCATGTTCAGATTTCCACCTGGCTTGACTCTACTAAGTCGTTGGCCAAAAAAGCTTTATTCATCAACCAATAAAAGCAACACATATACAACAGGACATTCGAGATCACATTCTTTTCACTCCCTGTCTTACAGGGCCTATTTTGTGTTTAAATTAAATTTCATTGAGGTTATTTAATATGTTTCTTTTGTTTTGTTGTTTCTCAAGTCACACCCCAAGGAAAAAAGAGATGATTAATCCCTATAATATCTTTGGACTTGCATTCTTTTGATGTTGTTAGAATGAAATGGAAGAGTAAAAAAACCTCAAATCACTTATTTGCTTGGAAAAAAATCAAGCATAAACCACTGGCAAGGTCTCAATTTGAATTTCCTGTAACTGGAAACTCTCATTTTTATGGAGTACACTAGTGTTTTCCCAAGAAACTGACCAACTGGAATACATTAATTGAAGAAGAAACTCTACTAGAGACAAGTGACTCAAAAAGTGCTCTCCATCAACTGACAAAGGAGTGCTGTGCATCAGGACCACCCCAACCCAGAGACAACAACACTCAGTCAATCACTGCATGACCTTTCCTGGCATCTCTGCAACATTCTGTCCCTTCTTATTCATTTAGGTTCATAGTAGACCAGAAAATAAAGACAAGGCATGCATTATAGTAAATAATACTGGAAGAGCAAGCATAAAGTGAACGAACATAAATCCATATCTCTATTGAGCCAGGCACAAGTAGAAGTTCAGCCGTTCACTGTCAAGCTCTCTGGACTTCCTTCAAGCATTTCTCCGAGCTCTCAATATTGTTTGGAAGTGGGGGATCCGCAAGTAGCTTGTGCTTTAAAGGCTTTATCCTCAACTGTGTGTTAGTAGAAATTTGACAAGAAAGAACTTGATGGAAGGAGTCCCGGTAACTGGGTGTGACTGAATTCTTGAGACAGTGGGTTAATGAACCTGCCTCTCTATCCCTCCTTCCTCATTTTCTCTTATATGTAGACCCAGTATTGTTCACTATGCTGCCATTGGACCAATACAACTAGATAATTATTGTCAAAAACCTCTGAAATAAGTATTTTTTATTTAATATTTTTTCTAATATTTTGTCATAGCAATAGATAGCTAACTAATCACATACTGTTTTCTTGTTTACCACTAAAACCACCTATTATTGTCACTTCTTGTCTCACACTAAGAAGATGGTTAGCCAGTCACTAACTAATGATTTCTTTTAAAACCTATTTCTAAAGAGCAGTCAGGGTTCCCTGCCCTGTGGAAAGTCCAAGATCCTTCCCCTCCGTCCATGTCTAGGAAGGTGAACATCCAAACTGGCTAGGCTCCCACCAAGCCGGAACATGAAGTAGGATCAAAACCCCTTGCCATTGACCTTGGCTTCTCATCAGTCCTCATTTGGATTGGAGAGGAAGGGGGAGAGGAGTGGGGGAGGGGGAGAAGAGTGGGGGGAGGGGGAGAAGGGTGGGAGGAGGGGGAGGGAAATGGGAGGCTGTGAGGAGGCGGAAACTTTATTTTCCTATTCTCAATAAAAAAAATTAAAAAAAGAATTTTTGGATAATGAAAAAAAATAAAACCTATTTCTAAAATTTGTTCTTATTTCAAGACTGATGATAGAAAAGCTTTCAAGTATCTTTCAAAAGATATCTTTCTTGCATAATAGCTCCTCCCTAACACCTTTTCATAAAACCCAGTAAGCAGCCAGATACACCTTTCCTATGTGGTAATCTGTCACAATCATGACCATTGTGTATAGAATGGTCAGTACGAAACACCAGCAATGGAACATCTGGAAAACACTTCATCCACACATGGGAGTGGTACTTGCTTTAACACAAATCTCTACATGCCTAACCACCATGAAAGAAGATGGGTAAGCAGAACAAAGTGGACTTTAGGAAAGACAGCTGTGTTGGAATGCTTGTAGAAGCTTATCCAGCTCCGGGGTTTAAAATAATTTTTAAATTTACTACTCAGAGGCACTCATTTCACTTAATTGCCCCAAGATGAATAGAATGTGCAATGTTTGATTACACCACCTTAGCACAATACATTTAACAAGTGTTTTCAAATGTTGCTCATGATTATTATACTGAGAAAGTGAAAAGAAAAGTATCATAACCTTGTCAGATTAAATGAATACTTCACCAACAATCTCCAATAACCTACCGAATTCCTAAACTTAAAAATCAGCCCAAGCAGCAGGCTATTGATCACTTCAGTAACACGTAGGTCATTGTGTACTTACTCAAGCACTTCTTCAGTCTTTGGGCCCAAACTGATGAGCAAAAAGAAAACCACACCTGGACTCATCAAACATACATTCTAACCAGAAGAGACACATGACACAGAGAGAGCACATGAACACTGTGAAGCAGATGAGCAGGTTACCTGTGCTCTAGAAAGGTTGTATAAGAAGAGCCTGTGAGGCTCAGGAGAGCAGGTGCTACAGAAGCAGATTCAGGTCAAGTTCAAGTTAGAACTCCGAGGAAAAAGGTAAGCCTCATTTTCTGTGCTAATCCATACTACAATGTGCTCTCTGGGATTACAAATCCAGCTTTTGTTCTGTCCATCGGGACTTATGTCCTTCCTACAGGATTTCACACAATGTTTCCTAGCAGAATCCACTCTTTAGATGCTCGCTTCACTTCACTTTGATCTACAAAAGAGTTTTCCAATTACTCAAACTATTTTCAGTTGAAATGATACAGTTAATGAATAATTATATAGTAAACTCATGAAAATTCACTACATCTTGATTGCAATTATATAAATATAATTTTAGATTTCAGAAAACTGGTTTTGTTTACCAACTGATACTAATAATCACCATTATATAACTTACATTGTAACACACTATTTCTGTCTTTTGCATCT